ATATATATAACAACTCTTATCATCAATCATGTCACACAACCGTTGAATCCTCTATTATCCTATTTCCGGTCAACAATCAATAATAAAAATAAATAAACAAACAAGACTCTCAAATAGACTCGATTCAGAGAGACAGAACATGTTTCGAAACTAGACTTTTCATAATAGCAGTACTAAACTAGTTCGGGGTTCAAATGGAGTAGCCCTCACCTTAGAAATGAAGAGAAGTGGTGTCTATGAACTCCAGGTGCTCAAATAGACTCCAAATCTGAGATCAGGGCGAAAAATCGAGTCAGAACGGCTTTCGAACGGCTTAAAACGGGTTTCAGACGGATTAGTCAAAAAGTCAACTCGCAGGTCAAAGTCAACCCTGGTCAAACCTTATCCAAATTGAAATTGAATTAAACCATCCGGTTTTCCTTAACCGAAATCGAATTCAATTGGACCAACCGGTTCGCGATAACCAAAACTAAATCAATTTAATTAACCGGTTTACCCTAACCGAAACCAAATTGATTTTAACCGCCGGTTTAACCTAACCAAACCGAAATCAATTTAAACCGGTCAAACCAACCGTTGACCGAGTCAACCGAGTTGACTCACCGAGTCGACTCGGCCGAGTTGGCCGAGTCGCCGGCGAGTCACCGGTGGCTGGTCACCGGCGGCGACGGCGGAGGACGGCGGAGGCTTACCGGAGGCGACGGCGGTCCGGCGGCGATCCGGCGGCGGTCCGGCGGCGGACGGTGGTTTCCGGCGAAACTTTGGAGGGCGCGTGTGGCTTCGTCTGAGGTCGGATCACGGCGTTTTTGGTGTCTACGGATTCGTCTCGACGAGTAGAACACGGTGGTGACCTTGAATGCACGAGATTCTCAACGGTTAGGAAGTTATGGTTGATTTACTAAACGGACAAAACAAAGCTTAATGGCAAGGCGGTTCACGGCGGCTTCTGGTGGTTACAAACGGTGGTGGTGTGCTCAACATGATTCTGGCGTGTGGTGGCTCCGGCGACGAGTTCTGGTGGCTCAGCCTCTACATGCAAACACCAAACTCTCTCTTAAACTCTTTTTCTCTCTAACTCTCTTTTCTTTTTCTTTTGCATGTAGTTTCAGAGAAAACAAGGTGAGGAATTAGGCTTATATAGTCACTACCTTGGGTATATTCGGATGGGCCTTGAGGTTGGGCCGAAATTAGTTGGGGTGTTGGGCTTGGGTCATCACAATTCTCCCCCACTAATATGGAATTCGTCCCCGAATTCGAGTCAAGAGTCGACTGACCAATAACATCTCGAAACAACTCTGGAAAATCAATCCTCATCTGCGGCTCAGACTCCCAGGTCTCCTCCTGGATCCCGTCTCTCTCCCAACGGACCTTAACCATCATCGTCATCATCCCCTGATCCGCTCTCACTTGTCGATCCACAATCTCTACTGGCTGACAAACTGCGGATAAGTCTC